TATATTCCAAGAACAGAGCAGAAACTGTACCGTAACAGTGTGTTGCTTTGCAGTCACACAGTACTTCCTGTTTTCTCCTATTTGAAGAAATGGTGTAGAGGCACCTGCAGACTTTCCAAGGTCTTGTCGTGCTGGGTTTTACATGGGTGCCTGGAATTCGATGTATATTAAGGCTAACTCCATTCACGAACAGCAGGGTCCCCCACAACCGCTAATAGCTTTTTGCCCACTTCTAGCATGGGCTGAATAATCCCTGCTAATACTGGCAGACATAAAAAAATGCACCTCACTCATCATCAGTTCCCTGAGTTGTTCAAAACTCTGGCTTTGGAGTGTGCATAACACGCCCTGGTTAGTGTTTTAGCACCCAAAAATAGGGAGTAAAACAGAACAATGCTGTTTAACTTAGCACAGAAAGAGGAGTGTTGCCAGAAAGTGGTCACTGTGCAGTGTTAGCAATCGTTGGATGAGACAAATGAGCCTTACCAGCAGTGTGCTCTGAAAATACTTCATGTTGATGTCCCAAATAACTCCAATAACCAAAGACTTCATCTTCTATTACAGTGAGACTTGTTTTGGAACACCCAAAACTACTTTGAATTAGCTGGTTCAGGCACTGCAGTTTATAAACTCAGTGCTAAATGCTTCCTGAATGCACGTGTGCTTATTTCTCTGCTCATGCTGCTGTGGAAGGTACAGCGGTAAAACGGCAGGTTCTGCTGGTGTCCAGTCACTAATGGGTTTCCACAAGGCTCCATCCTTGGCATAGTTCTCTTTAACATCTTTCTTAATATCTTGGAGGCAGGACTGGAAGGGATACTAAGTAACTTTGCTGATGACACTAAACTGGGAGGACCTGCTCACTCCCTGGAGGTCAGAGAGGCCCTGCAGAGAGATCTTGACAAATTCAAGGACTGGGCAATCACCAACCATGTGAAGTTCAACAAGGGCAAGTGCCACATTCTGCACTTGGGATGGGATGTTGTTATGTGGCAACATATGGCAGTTGTTATGTGTATGGACTGGGGAATGAGAGGCTGGAAAGAAGTGCTGCGGAAGGGGAGCTGGGGGTCCTGGTTGATGGCGACTTATGAGTCAGCAGTGCCCTGGCAGCCAGGAAGGCCAACCGTGTCTTGCATCCTGTTAAGCACAACATCACCAGCTGGTCAAGGGAAGTGATTGTCCTGCTCTGCTCTGCAGTGGTGCGGCATCACACATTGAATACTGTGTGTGTTTTTGGGCACCACAACGTAAAAGAGACATTAAACAATTAGAGTGTGTCCAGAGGACAGCCATGAGGATGGCAGGAGGTCTGGAGGAGAAGCCTTATGAGAAGTGGCTGAAGTCACTTGATCTGTTCAGCTTACAAAAGAAGAGAATGATGGGAGACCTCACTGTGTCTTCAAAATCCTCAGGAGGGGAAGCGGAGGTGCAAATACTGATCTCTTCACTCTGGTGATCGGTGACAGGACTCGAGGAAATGGCATGAAGCTGAGTCAGGGGAATTAGGTATCAGGAAAAAGTTTTTCACCCAGAAGGTGTTTGAGCCCTGGAACAGGCCTCCCCATGAAGTGGTCACAGCACCGAGCCTGACAAAGCTGAAGTGTTTGGACAACACGTGGTATGATTCCTGGGGTATCCTGCACAGAGCCAGGAATTGGACTCCATGATCCTGATGCGTCCCTTCCAACTCAGCATATTCTATGATTCTATGATACCCTTTCTTAGGACTTGAAGTTGGACAGTGCTGAGCTGCTGAAAGAAGCACCGACATGCTTTTGACAGAAACTTTAGGCATTGAACTTGCGTTTCACCACATTAACCCTTCAGCTGGTGAGTGTGTGGTTCAACCTATCTGTGTGTTTGTAAATTTGGAAAAACTCTTTAGTTGGTGTGGTTAGAATGGAATCAATCTAATGGAAATGAAAGCACAGTCAGGACTGAAGACTAATATATGAGAACAATTTATATAAATTGTGAAATATCCTTGTAGCCCAATAAATTCTCTATGTATTTTTCTGTTGAATACCATTTTAATGAGTTGGTACGTGTCAGAGAAACATCATTTCCCCTGCTCTAGTCACAGACCCATGATGAAAAAGGAAAGACACAGAAGATCAGCATGAGAAACTGTATGTACAGGCTGAACAGAAAAGTAGAGAACACGATGCCTGTGTGGTCAGCAGTCCCATACAACATACTTGTCTGAATAATGACTTTCTAAACTGCCTTATGCTTTTTTATCTACCGATGTCCTTTGTGCTAAAAATTGCATTGTGACCCTACTGAGCTTAACAGTAAAAAGCCCTCTGAGTTTAACTGGGGAAGACTCTTACCACAGCACTATGGCACTTAAAAGCAGTTCCATCTTTTGACTTTGTAATGCAAAATTTACTAATTTTCTCAGGCAATTTACACACAACAATGTATGGTTTTAACTGTCTACCACAAATAGCATGCTATTGACCCACAGACATCTCTGCCACAATTGTATGGGACAATGAAACTATTTGGATGCTTTCAGGCTTTGCTGACTCATATGCTGAACACAGCCTGTAGTCCCAACATTAATGCCCCACTTAGCCTCTATCCTTCAGGTGGGATTCAGGTCAAGGTGACATAGACTAAGCATGGATTAAACTGCAGGTACGACCAGCAGCATGTGTACATAACAAAACCTCCTCTGAAGATATGCCACTGGCCTATGGGAGCTTGAGGATTTATCTAATCTAGCAACTATTTTCAGCTTGCTCAACTGAGGCAGCAAGGAAGTCTAACTGAGCTTTCAAACTCAAGACTTTTTCTGATCATGCTTGCACAGTATCTTCCTCCAAAGAGTGTATCAGCAAAATGCATTGAAATATTTTCCTGGGCTTCTCTACATACTTTACATCTCTTTATATATTGTGTTTCTTTGTGTGAGGAGGAACCTTGCTGCTCTATGAAATGTTGATCTACCCAGATGTAATAGAATGTGACATTTGAAGAGACACAAATAATCTTTAATATCGTTGATCAAAAACTATGAGGTCTCTAAATGAAAACTCTTTACTTTTACTTGAGCCAGAGTGAATTTAAAATATCCCTTAAAGAGACTTTTTAAAAAAATAAATTACTGAGATCTGTATCAGCATAAATTTCTATTTTCACAAAAAAACCCTCTGTGTTGTGGGAGATGTCTGAGGTTCATCTCTTGACGAACTCTTGGCCTCTTCTCTTTCTGCTATGTCCATAAGCCCCACTTCCATTCCTATAAACCTTGCTTTCTATTGCTCCTTCCTTCAGCCTTTTCCTCCTTGTGCCCTTGAACTTGACTCTTGCTTTTTCTCTCTTTTTCCTTGTACTCTGCAAGATTCCCGGGTCAAGCCCATCCGAGTCACTACAGCACTACTCTGCTTTTAAAGCAAGCAGAGGTAGGAGCAGGTTTTCAGCACTGCCTCTCACACTGCTATGAGACATGGAGAGAGATGGTCCCTGTGACAAAGAAGAGCATCTTTACCACCCATACTTCAAGATTGCAGGCTACTGGGTGAGTAATTAGAATTTCCTGACTCAGCGGGTCTTGGAAGGAAACAAGTACCTTTTCTGATCGGTGTAAAAAACATGGAGGCAAAAAAAAGTAACCCTATTTCCATCCCACTGAGTCATCCTCTTAGCAAAAGATTCCAGATTGGAAATATTTACACAATAATTGTTCCATAAATTAGCTGGCAAGAGACACCCTGTCTGCTGATTTTAGATTTTGTAATTTTTTTGCTATGTCTGCAGAGCTCAGTGAGTGACTTAGCATGTTTCTCATATAAATTAATTGTTCTCCAATAGATCATAGCTATATAATCCTGATATGAACAGACACTATTAGAACCAAAGAAAGAATCTACACAATGTTACCACTTCCATTGATGCAGCTGTATATGGGAGAAAGACTTCTATTTTACTTTAGTTAGTATTAATATTTGTAGAGCTGATAGTGGGGAAAAAAAATAAAATGAGCAAATTGGATACAGAAAATGAGAATGCAACTTCATAATAGTTTTTAGAAAGATTTTTTTTGCATTGTAAAGCTTAGAATTTAGGACTATGAGTTTTCATCTTTTACATCAAAATACGTTTTTAATAAAAATTAAATTTTACTTAATTGTACTTTTATATAGTGCTATTTATTTCATTGTAGGTGTACATTGGTTTAGATGGAATACTGCTGTAATTTCAGCTCCAAGAGGGCAACTAACACAACACACACGTGAAACGGCACAGCAACATCAGTCTGCACGGTCAGGCTGACCGTGACGCAAAGCACGGAACTCTGACTGTTGTAGCTGTGGAAGTGACTGTAAGGCGTTTTAGGCACTTTATTAAGGGAGCTCACAACCACCCCTGGGGGAGCTGACTGCAGTTGTAATCTCCAGCTGCTGGAAAACGTGACATTTGCGTTTTGGTTGTGGGTTTGGGTTTTTTTGTTGTTTTTTTTTTTTTTTCCCCCACTTCTTCCTTGGCGACGTGTGTATGCCATCAGCAATACCCACCTTCTAATATACTAATTGAAAACAATTTTAATTCTTATTAAAGCGTTGTTAACTTTATTAGGTGAATGTCAACATCGATCTGGACGTTCAGTCTCCTGCTTCGAACAGACTTTAGAGCGGAATTGAGGATATCTACGAGCAGATCGTGTTTAGGGTATTTCAGCTGCTGTTGGCAGCCTCTCTCTGGCAAAGAGCAGCGCCCCGGAGCTCCTCAGCGCTGCCCGCGCCGTGAGGGCCCAGCCCGCCATGTCCGGGCCCCGCCGTCTCCCCGGCAACGCTCCCAGCGTGCCCCGCGCCCCGCGGGCCCGCGGAGGGCGGCGGCGCGGACGGGAGGTGAGAGGCGCCATTTTTAAATCGTTGGGGCCGGCAGCGGCCCCGCCCGGCGGGGTGTCAGGGGGGTCGGGGGGGCACCGGGGCGTCGGCGGGGGAGATGGGCGGGGGGGGCGGCCCAGAGGGTGAACGGGGGACCGGGGTGTGAGAGGGCGGCCGGGCTGTGAACGGGGGACCGGACTGTGGGAACGGGGCCGGGCTGTGAGAGGGCGACCAGGCTGTGGGAGCGAGGCCGGGCTGTGAGGGGGCGCCGGGCTGACCGAGGCCTTTCTGCGTGCCCGGAGTTTCCCCTCGCGGCGAAGGGAGGCCCTTGGGCCTCTTCGCCGGCCCCGCGCTCCTCCCCGGCCGTCGGTCGCGGCGCAGCCGGAGCAGATCTCGGTTCGTCCCAGAGCGCCCTCGCCTGTGCCCGCCGTTCCGGCTGCGGGAGCGGCCTGCTGCGGCCTCTGCGGGCTGCCCGTGCGCTGCTCGGTTCGGAATCGCCCGGCGCAAGCCCGGAGCATAGTTCAGAGCCCTCTCGCTGCTAGGCTTTCCAGTCTTTACGTTTGCCTGCTTTCGTTTCCACCAGCGATCCTGAGCCACGGATGGCTGGAGGGTAATGATTATTTTTCCTGGTGTGTGGCACCCGTTAGCGTTGTTCCTCTGACCGAGCTCCTATGTCCATGAGTCGGGAAAATTAGCAGTGAAAAGGTCATGGTGACTTAAGCGACTCACTTGGCCTCTCGCACGATCTTCATCCACATACTGTAGGGTGTATATAATCATGTTTCTGCCTACAGGAAGTGTGGTATACATACACTGACGTGAAACCTATGCCCTGCCTGAACATCTCGATTTTTAAGCCAATATGAAAGGGGAGTGATTTTTCAGAAGAGTTTTGGTTGTGGACTACTGAACTATTTGCAAAAACCAGCCACCTGTGGGCCCGACTAGAACTTTGAATGAGATTATAGTGACCAAAAGTTTCTCATGTGTATTTGAAGGTTTCTTTTCATGAGAAAACAGTAGAAAACATACCTGGCATGTGTAGACTGGCTGCTCTTGAGTACAGCTAGATTTATAAGCTGTAACTCACATACAAAACTTCACTTTGATCAGTAACTGCTGTCAGTTTGACTTGGTAGTGTATGTGGCTAAAGCACAAATTTCAACCTTGAGTTAAGAGACAACCTTGTTCATTGTTTCTCACCTAACAAGTAGTCTTTCTGTAGAATAAGACAGAAATTGAGAGGGTGGTACCATGTATAGGGATGGACACTGAAATAATGTATGGTCAATTGTTGCTGAAATTTGTACCTTTGAATGCTGTTGTGGAGGGAGTGATAGTAGTTTGGATGGGATTGATGTGTTTTGTAATGTAGAAGTCATACAGATGTTCTCCAAAATTTCTTCACTTTGATGTGCCAAGGTATTAAGTATTTATTTTCATTGCATTCTCTACAGTAATATCTGAGCAATCTCTAGGTTATGAAATTTTCTATAATAAAGGTTTTTGTGTTTCTCATTGATGTTTTTACCTCCATATATTTATATACATATATATATATCTTTCTTAAGGTGATTGCTTTGGCTATTGCAAGTTGCTGATGATGAATCAGTAGAATATGGATTGTTAAAGTAATACGAGGTAAGATATAATATTTCTCAAATTATATATAATTGGGGGTGGTTTTTTTATACACTTGATGTTCATGGGGAGTCTGATCTCTCATGAGTGGGTTCCATAGTTGTTTAAGATAGGATTTGTTTCACTTTAAATGTCTAAAATCTGAATATCTAGTCCAAGGCTGTGACTTTATGAACATCTGAGCTTGTGGTGTGACAGCTCTCTGCTCCTGAGAGAAGGGCTTGCTCTTCCTCCTGTCTGTTTACTGGGCTCTTTGTCCCTTTTCCCTGGCCAGTACCAGCTGCCTGCTTTCACTGATGATGTAGCTGGCTGGATTTTTCCATGAGCTCGCGTGACTCACTGACCTCACAGAAAAACTATTGAGTGTTGTCTCCTTCTTTGAGTGTGCTGGCTTCTTGAGTTAAAACAGTTCATGGAAGGGTCTGATGAATGACAAATGTAGGAATGGGGATAAAGAAATGAGGAGTGGAACCTCCCCTTCCTGGTGGCAATGAGCTCTGGTGTTGGATTACATTTTTTCCTGAGTTCATTATCTAGTCTTATTGTAGACTCTTGAGCAGGGATGAGAAGGGGGTGGTGTTTGAAGTGGCTTTCTGAGGCTGTGCCTTTTTTGAGTGTCTCACTCTTTCAGACAAATAGTTTATTGTTTCACAAGACCTTGGCTGTTTCTATTACAAAAAAAAAAGAAAGGACATATATAGAGATCTGGGGTTCTGACCAAAACAGGCAGCGAGATTATGTATGCATTGTGTGAAACAGCTCTTTAACCTTCACAGATTTTACTAAGAACTTCAGTGCTTGAACAAAACATTATGCAAGGCTAATACTGTTAGTTTTTCATAAATAGTTGCAAAATTATGCTCATTATATCATCTAACTGTCGAACAGTGTCCAAACATGATAAATATAAGTGTGGCTGTGGTGTGGAAAGGAGAGCCATGAGTGAGATGTGTATGGCACTCAGGTAAAATAGCAGTACATGCTGCAGTTGTATCATTTAGTTATGCCAGGTAAGTGAGAAGGAAACCTTGTTGTTGTAAAACAAAATACCATAAAAATTTAAGATAAAGAAATAAAATTATATTGATATCCTATTTTTCTCTAAATGCAAGTATTCTCACTATTTTAAGAGCTTGTAGGAAACAAAAAGTTAAAATAAAAAAGCTGAAAAATCTTATAAAAGAAGACAAGCCCTTTAATGATGTATAGATATAAAGAGGAGAGATGTGAAGTAGGTCATTCAGCAATGTTTCTCTCTGTATGAAAATAAATAATTGGAGATGAAAGGCAAAACAAAGGTTATTCTTGGAAATGTAGTTGAGTTACTCCACTTAGCTGTTCTACAGTCAGTATGCTATTTTACCTACAGAGTGTGCATTTCTGAGGTTTCAGGACTCTCCACCAATACCTTTATATGTATGACTGTGGAAAATGATAGTAAGGTTTCATAGTATGAGTTCAGGGCAACTGTTAAAAGTTCAGTAGTGTGATAATATTTGGTAAATATGTAGGTGTAGAATTTACTTTAGATATGATACGATTTTAGTTTCTTTAAAGATGTTGGTTATGGTTCTCTACTTGAACAGATCTCCAGGAGAGGAAGAAATTTTGACCTAGTGTTTATTTAAAGGATTTATCAAAAATTATGGGTGCAGTTTTGTGTAATTTTGAAGATTATTTAAGGTCTGTTCAGGGACTATGAGCAAGTACTGTAAGCCATTAGCACAGCAGAAATTCATGTTGGTGGTCTACTTACAATATTTGTAGACCCAAATAGTATTGACTATTGACAGTTCACTGCTAGAAATTATGTAATGATTTGGGGAAAAAACCACAAACAAACAAAAAAACTTTTTTAATTTGTAAGAATGTAAATAGGTTAAATGTTACAAGTTGCTATCAGTGATTTTGAGGAAAGAACTCTCATGAAGTAATGAAATCTCTACTTTTTCACAGTTGTCACCAGGAATGTGAAGCATGAAATTTGCCACTAGATGTCCCTGAAAACCAGAATAGTTTTGTTTCCTTAAATACATACAGCTTAGGTTTTTGCAGTGTGAAACCATTATTTTGCAGGCTACAATTACCTCCCTCTCTTCTCTGCTTTTTTCATGAAATGTTTGTGCATATGAACACATGGCCAGGTGTGTGTCTTGCTTTGTAATTTGTGCCCTTTTTGATAGTAGCAAAAGCTGTGAGGAGAAAATGTACCTCTCACCTGCTTGAATTTGAGTACAAAAGGTTGCATTTCTGTTTATCTTTTGGCTCACATACCCTCAGAAAATGTAGGATTTTTTTAGTGTCTTTGACCTTAGATCTGTTATACCACTTCAGAAATACTTCTTACTCAAGTAAGTGTCAGAATTCAGACCTTACTTTAAATGCTGTGTTCTTAATTCTGAGCTTTGGCTTACAGTTTGATAGTTACATTTAGTACCTCTAGCTTATGATTTGAGACAGAGAAAAGTATTATTGCCTGCTTGTTGTTTGGGTTTTTTGTTGTTATTTTTTTGTTTATTTTAACAGTGATCACGTTAACCCTGTTGATATGCTTGGCAATTCTTAGGGGCATGCTGCCTTGGGTTTCCTCTGTGTATGAGAACTTTCTGTCCTCTCATGTGATTTATTGTCCTTGACATCACTGTTCAGTTCTCCTCATAAAGCTGTTGGTTTAACAATTGAAAATGTCTTTATATTATTGAGTTTGGAAATAGCTGTTATCCTTGGTTCTCAACAACCAACAAAATTCAGGAAGGAAAAATAGAGACTTTTGATTAGAAGGTTCTTCAGAACTTATTAATGTTTGAAGTTGGTTGTGCATATAGGGCAGTCATGGAGGATACTGTTCTTTATTTTGATTTCTTCCTCTATTCTGATTTCTTCCTTTTTATTCTCTCAGCAAATTTGGGTAGAGCAGAATACGAAGTTGCTTGTCTTGCTTTGCCTATACTAGTGTTTCAAGTGGTAGATTTTCCTTTGAGCTTTTTCAGTCTTAGTGGTGGAGGAAGGAAAAATATGAAAGAAATTTTAAATATAAAACTTTTTTAATGTTATCATGTCTTTTAGTGGAATGGGCACTCACGTGCGATGTTTATTTTTCCACATGGAAAATAGATTTTCATTTTCCTTAGGGTTCAGAGGTTTATAAAATCAAATTTGAAGTGTTAAAGATATAGATCCATGAAAGATTTGAAGTGTGGAATTGTAGAAAATTCAACTGTGCCTGTAAAGAAGGTGAGGTATTTGCAGTGATGCCAGAGTTTTAACATTGCTTCTGCTTGAGTTTTATCTTGTACAAAGTTACACTTTGTACACTGCAGCCTGGCTTCACTCCACTATGGGAAAAGCTAAAATGGCAGAGTAGTTGGTTTCAAGGCTTTGTAACTTCTCTAAAGTCAGTTGCAGTCCTCCCTCCCCCAGATCATGTAGAAGTGTCAGTAATGATCACATTAATACCTGTTGTTTCTAACATCAAAAAGCGCTAATGAGGTACATTAGGATACTTCCTCATTTCTCAGCAACTGTTGATTTGCAGCATTCCTCACACCAATCTGATATTGTCATGTTTCACAAAAATCTTTCTGGAGAGGTCACAAGAAACCACAAGATAAACTGAAAATGAGGAAGTGACATGTATCGATGATATATTTCAGGACTGAAAAAGCAGGCAGGTGTCTTCTAGGCTGTTCCTGAAACCTGAACTCTTCTCCAGAGAGGGCCTGATAGGACTTCAGCAGAGACAATTATCTGTTCTTCTCCCAGCAGAAGGGGTGGTGTATTGAGGAGTACAACCTGTTAGGATATGTGACAACTTTGACTTGGATAAGTAGTAGGAAAAGCTGTATGTGCCTGATGTCTGTGGCCTCTGCTTGAACTCTGACTAACAAGGCATAATTAGGACATTACTAGTGTCATAGTTGGAGTCTCAGTGTATAGTGTAAGTAAAAATACCATTTCATGTAATCTGTCAGATAGGAGCGCTTATTGACTCAAATGATCTCGGTTTTTAAGTTTATTCTCTGCCCTGGAAGGACTGTTACTTCTCAGGGAAGGCAGAATCAGCATGCAAGAGTTGCACTTTCAGTAAAGGTTTCTAACCTGAGTTACAGCAGAACCAGGATTCTCCTGTACTTAAAGCAAAAGCAGTGTGTGAAACCTTTGAACTGTGAATGTGCTTGAATGCTAAGTACGTGTCATTGTGTTTGTTCAGGTGTCTTGATCTTCTGAGATGTCAAGAGAAAGAGTGGATTGTGTTTTAGATTAGTTACATCTTAATTTTAATCTTGTCTTCTCCATACTCATCGTGAGCAGTCATCATAAAATGGATGGTTTGGGCCGCTTCCTTCCTCCTGTGGTTGGAAATGGTGATACAGATAATCCAGAAGAATTACTGAAACTTCTGATAGATGAAAAAATTCGAAGTGAACGCCATAAAACAAATTATCAAATTTTAAAGGCAGAACATCAAAGGTACATGAATTTAAACAAGTTTCTTCATCTGAGCTATTAAAATGTGAAGCTAAATGTTGGAAGGGATTAATTTGTATGTGTTGTATGTTAGCTATTTCTGTATCTAAGGGCAGATTTGAGTGTTGTTCATATTAGAAAATAAACAATTAAAAATACCTTAAGTAACTTTAGACATTGCAGATTATGTTTTGGCAATACTTTTTATGCATGTAAATATGGGATAACTTTTCAGTATATTACAGGAAGAGGATATTTGTAGCTTAGTTCTTATTTGGTGTTTCTGTGTTTGCTTCTGCATGTGAGTTTTTGAGCTTCAAGGTCTAATTTTAGAAGGTAAATAGAAAGCAAATGTGTATTTTATTTCAGATTACAGGGCGATTATACCAAATCGCAAGAAGAAATGAAGCAGTTATTAGATGAAAAACAGGCTGCAAATGACAAAGTTCAGCAGCTTGTCACTGAATATCAAGAGCAGTTACTGAGTAAATCACAAGAGCTGGAAAAACTGAAGATGCAGGTGAGATAATTTACTGGAAGGACTTAATATTTATTTTTATCCTGTAATAGGGCCATGCATATTTTTTTGTTTGTGTAACATGTGTATACCCAGATCGGATGTATTTCAGATGTCTTGAAATTCACCCAACACGAATAATGGTTCTTCTTTAGTGTGTTGAAATTATTGTCTTCTTGTTTAACTGAATCTTTCAAATCCTGTTGTTAGGTGCTATGTAAGACTCTCAGTCTCGCTGCTTGCTCTCCTGTTAAGGAGAAAATCATCTGCCTTGGAGGGTAACTTAGGTGCCTACGCCTGGAAAAATAGATATTTGTTTCTCTTCATTATGACAGCTTTCTTCTTTCTTTCTGTTTCTTAGAAAACCCAAACCAAACAAAACCCCCCTCAATATTTAAGAGAACTTGGATGACACTTTATATGTAACTGCTTGTTTCCTTAAAATAATGTAGGACATATTCTTAGGAAACAAATATAGCATCTAAACACGAGATCCCAGACTATGAATGGAGGAGATGTGCCTCAGTACCATAACTAGAACTAGTTTTCAGGGACTTCAGGGTACAGATAAGTGAAAGAAAAGTAGAATAAATTAGAATAAGTCACAGATTGGGGATGAAATGTCTTTTTATTAAACACTGCTTCTTGGTTTGCTGTATGAACCACACCCAAGTAATTTTAACAAAATACCATACAGCATGGAGCTCATGGCAGGGAATGTTTTCTGATGTTCTTTTCATTCAAACAAGTACCCATGTATCTGTTGGAGAACACACATCTAATAAGTTTTACAAATAGTTGGTTTGATATTGCTCATTTTGGTTTTTAGGGGTTGGTTCACTTACTGTTTAAGTTTTTCCAGATGCTAATTCTTTATCTTCTATGTGAGACCACTTTTCCTTCACCTACTTCCCCCTCAAAGGAGATAAATCTCTTGACAATTCAGCTTGACATTTGTGTTGCTTCTGCCAATAAATACTGACATTTTAAATGCTGCTCTTACCTTCCCAGAATATTTTTAGTTCACTAGTATGTTTTTTTGATTCTGTAAGTACTATTTGCTTCTGTAAGTACTGTTGAAATTTCTTTAGAAACACATAGAAAATTAAGCAGAATTCCTAAAATCATATTTGAAATACTTTTTTCCTTGCTACTTGTTCTGTCACAGTGTAAGTAAATAAGACTAGTTATTTGTGATACTTTTCTGTTTTAAGGTGATAACTCCTCAAAAATTAGAACTGTTAAAAGCAAAAATACAGGAGGAATTGGAATCTCCTATGAGAGAACGTTATCAGAAGCTAGAAAATGTAAGTAGTAGAAAATCCAAGCAGTAAGTATTGAAATTCTATTTCATTTAGAGTAGTGATCACCACTTAATAGTTGTTCCTAAAACCTTAGAAAATTAAAATGGAGAAGAGTGCAAGTATGTCATTCTTTGTCTGGTAATGTTGTCCCAGGCAGGGAAGGCTGAAACTGTGGAAGAGGGAGAAGGAGGCATTCAGTTCATCAAATATACCTTATGGAATGATAGAAACATTGCATGGACGTTTGAAGGAAGTAAATCTGATTTTTTTTTTTTCCTCTTACTTAGGAAGTGGAAAAATACAGAACACTGTATAACAAACTTCGTTACGAACATACTTTTCTGAAATCAGAATTTGAACACCAACAGGAAGAACACGCACGTATTTTAGAACAGAAGAAAATAAAATATGAGGCTGAGGTACATAGAACATTACAGTAGTATAGAAAAAATCTGGTGACAAAGCTTCTTGAACGTTATGGAACTGATGGTACTTGAAGAGTTGTCAGTTTGACACCATTTCATAGTGTTTGTTTCCATTCTTGTAATTCTCAAAACAATTCTGTGACTTGGTCTAAAGCTGCCTCTGTAGGTTTGTTCAGTGACGCGTTGCAGTATCATTTGTGCTATTAAAAGTAAGAGTAGCTTGCCTTCTGGTAAATGACAGCCAGTAGGTTTGCTTAATGCTTTTTCTAATGGCATTTGTGTTGGAATTTGCAATTAATAAGTTATCTGAGGAACCAATGCGAGTTTAAATTTTAAATTACTTATGGGACAACTAATCCAGGAAGATATTGTTGATAGCAGATAAGGGTACATTTTGCAGTGTATCTGTTGTGATCCTAGGTTTGGATCATGAGCGTGATAATCAAAAGGATGCTGAAAACTGTGGTAGTTTTATTTCAATTGTATTAACTCTTGAATAAACCATTCATTCATTTGCTTCAGAATTGGACTTTCAAAAGTGTATCTAGTTAAATGAATTGCCAGCATATTTATGTTTTAAATATATCCAGCAGTGTAAATGAGTATTGCATATGTCATTTGCATATTCATCAAAGTATTTGTCTGGGAGCATATATTCTAAGATGCCAGATTTGAATGTATTATTCCAAACATCAGACACAAATCAAAGCAATCATCACTTTCAAATTCAATCCAAGTTTGCAAATGCAATGCACTAAAACCAAAACAGTTGTCCTTCCTGGAGCTAAAGTCACATGCTGCTTTACAGCCTACCTCTCTCATGGGTTTGTTGAGTTTGTGCTAGTCCTGCAGCTAATTAGCACACTTACACAGAATGGAACTACCCTGAGCCCAGGGCACAGTGTGGTCTGGTTTCTCTCAAAGCCTTTTTGACCTTCCATGTCATTTAGCACAAAGAGGCTGTAAAAACATCCTCATTCTGGAATCATGGCTTGGGCATATCGTGCAATGAGTCTTTGAATCTCCTCATAAAAGGCATTTGGAGGGCTTTTGCTGTAGAAATTGGCTTTGTTGCTTCGAGGATGCTGATGCGACTTCTAAAGGGACTGTTGCAGATCTGAGTTTGGACTAGTCTCCAAATATCAAGAGACCTCTTACATTCATTACTTCTCACTCTTTTACCCCCAATATTGCATTCAGTCCGTGTTACTAATTTTTAAATACAACAATCTCTATATTTATGTTTGTTAGTTACTGTCTCCAGATTAGTTTGTGCCTTTTGTACTACCTTGTAACAGAAATTTTTTTTTCTTTATTGTCTGACAGGGCCCAATCATGTTGCCTGTCTTGATTTATTAGCAGATTTGAGTTCTGTTGTAGTTATAAAATGATGGAATCATAATATAAGTTGCAATAGACCTCTTTCTAGTCCAAAATCCTGCTTAAAATATTGAAATGTAATGGAAAAGTTGCTCAGGGCCATGTCCAGTCAAGTCTTGAACATCTGCAAGGATGGAGATTTCACAATTTTTCTGGCCAAAGTATTTCAGTATTCAACCATCTTCGTGGTGAGCTTTTCTGATAATACCAAATAAGCATTTCATGTGTTCCAACCTGTGCCTGTTGCCTCTCTTTCTGTCCCCATGCATCTCCTTCTCTTCTCCAAGCTGAAGAGGCATAGTTCTCTTAGCCTGTCCTTATATGTCATGTTCCCTGACACCCTGACCATCTTAGCACATCTTGAATTTGATTCAGTTTGTCACTTTCTTCATGTACTTGATGCTAACTCCAGATGCAGTCTTACCAGTACTAGAAGGGGGACAGAGAATCATTTCCCTGGATCTGCTAGCTATCCTTCTGCCAATCTGCCAGGATTCAATTGGTCATCTTTACTGCAAGGGTACTCTGATGACTAATGTTCAACTTGTTGTCCACTAGGACCCCCAGATCCTTTTCAGCGGAGCTGCTTCCTAGACAGCTGGACCCAGTCTGTGTAGCTGCACTGGGTTACTCCATCTCAGGTGCATGACTTGCTCTTCTTGTTGAAGAGAGTCTGGTCCATTCCATTCCTTCAGCCTGTCCAGATTCCTCTGAATGGCAAGTTCTGCCTTCCAGTGTGTGGACCATTTCCCCCAGTTCGGTGTCACACACAAGCTTGCTGAAAGTGCCTCCATCCTACCATCCAGTTCCCTAATGAGGACATCAATCCACATTGGACTCTCCAGTGATCTCAAAAAGACCCCACTAGTTACAGGCAGTCAGATCGTCTTACTTTATTTTCCTACTCTAAGCAAGAAAACAAACACTAATGTAATTTCTTAATATTTTAAATGCCCACTGCCGCTCCTTTCTGAATTGTCTACTGTTGTACTTGTTGCTACCTGACACCTAACCAGTGTAAAAGCTTTATTTTTCTGATTAACAACTCTCAGATTGCAAGACTGGATAAAGATAAAGAAGAACTCCACAATCAGCTGCTTAGTGTTGATCCCACGAAGGACAGTAAACGTGTGGAGGCACTCTCTAGAGAAAAGGCACAACTGTGTCAGAAATTAAAAGCCTTAGAAGCAGAAGTAGAAGAACTAAGAGCAGAAAGACACAATTGTGGTGTGCAAGCAGAAAATGTTCAAAGAGTACAAGCACGACAGTTAGCTGAGATGCAGGCTACAATGCGGTGTCTAGAGGTAAGAGTTCTTCTTTATTATTATTTTGCCCCCTTGCAGAATGTAGTGAGAATAACATTTGGCCTGACAGAACTGTCACTGAAGTCATAGAACATTTTGCCATTGACTCCATAATTTGAATTTGTACATTTCAGATTTAAGATCAAATTATAAATACATTGGGAGCATTGGGAGTCGCATACTACCAGCTCTCCTTTGGAAAGGTGGAGTCATGTACTACCAGTTCAACTTTGGAAATCTCTCAACTGAGAGATTCTGTTGAATCATCTCCTTTCTAAACATGCAAGTGATATCCACATTTGCAGTCAGTAAGATGATCATGTCAGCACTTGCTACTTGGCTGAAGTTAGAAACCAATGGCAATATGTTAATAATCTTCTACAGTAAATTTTGTATTCTTTTCCAAAATGTTACATGATGCTCTTCTATTTTCTTTCTATTTCCTTTCCTCATCTGTCGTCTTGTTTGCCTGTGCCTCTTCTTTCTTCAGCACATTACTGCAATTGCTAGTTCTTGGCTGTTGCTCTCCCTTAAAGAAGCTTTGTTATTGCCAGCCTGTTGTACGCTTCCCAGGATTCCACTGTATTCCTCATCTGTGGTCCTCAGTCCTCCTGTCAGTTCTTGCTATCTCTCTTGACAATGAGTCTTTTCCTCTAGATTTCTCACACAGTTGCAGCACACAGACAGATGGTTCATCTTCCTTTTTACTATTATCAGTGCTCTAACCCTACCTCCAAAAATCTTACAAATACCTCCTTCATTCAAGGCAGAAAAGAAGTCTGCTGAAATGCAGGTTGATCGAATTGAGAAAGAACTGCAGATGAGTAATGAGCAGAACATTGTCTTAACTAGCAAAGTTCACAAATGCGAACGAGAAGTCAATTCCTTAGCTGCTAAAGTAAGTACTTTCATGGTATCTGAAATAATTTTTTCATATCCTGTTATGTTTAAGTTTTTCCGTTTATATTTTACACCAAGAATAAAGTAAAAATGTCTTCTGCTGTGACTTAGAATAGGTTTGGAATTTTCCCCCAAATTTCAGTTGGAAGAATGTGTGACTTTACAGGAGAAACATCATACATAAAACTATATCTAAAGATTAAGGTTATGCTCTTTTTATTTCATTTTCTAGGTCCTTTTCCTACTTTTCCTAAACAGAACAGGACTTGAAGAGATGTCTTTATTTTCATGGTTTTAGTGCTCATGAAAACAGCCAGCTGGTAGAGCTTTAAAGTGAATTCCCCTCCCCGCCCCCCCCCTTTTTTTTTTTAAATGGAGCTATGGCTTCTGGAGATCTTAAAAAGTAATCTCTGAACAGGCTATGTTAGCTACAGGATGCAAGCATTGGAATTACTTGTGGAGTTCTAGGCACAGCCTTTTTGTTGGGCTAGTGCCAGCAAAACTTGTACAGAAACATTTCAGTACAGAATTGCATCAGACCATTTTAAGTAGTATTGGGTTGACATCAGACCTTGGAGGTTTAGTTCTATGATTATATGTGCGCTGCTTTTTTTTTTTTTTTTTTTTTTTAAATCTGAGTGAAATTTCGAAAAAAAAAAACTTTGGAAAAAAAAAAGATCAGAAGGCTTGAAGTTTAGGGAAAAGCTGAAACTGCTTAAAAAACCTGACATCTCTGTTTAATATGTCAGTATAATTTGTTTAGTGTGGATGCCACATTGAGGGTTTTATCTGGTTGCAGTGACTCCTCAGTTACACATCTTAAGAGACAGATCCTTTATGCAATTTTATATGCGATTGTTTGAATAAACAAGGAAAGTAAAAACACTAGTAAACCTTTTGGCCTTTAAGTGTTGTAGAATACTGACATTGCTCTATGTAAATTTGAGTATTTACTGAACTGAAGTAGTTACCTGGGTAAATACAAGCTTTTTGCTGTCTCTTCTTCCCTCCTTTCTGGAGAGAATACTTGGTAATAATTTTTTATCACATCTGTTAGTTCCTGGTAACACACTGAATCTCCTGTGTTTTCTTACCTTTCTGTACAGGCTTTAGGTAGTTCTGAAGTAACTGTAAAGCCACTAACTTTGGGCTTGTATATCTGGCTGAATACTGGATCATTTTAAGTTCTCTGTTGACGTAAAGCTATCCTGCTTTTCTAAATACACCTTCCAAACACTAACATGCACTTTGTATGGTATGGCAGTTAATTTTATCATAATGTACTTAGGAAAGATATAATGCAGGAAGAAAACATTAACTTCAACCATAGTTCTTTAACAATCTCAGATTTAATTCAGAACAGTGCGCATTTACGAGTGCTAAGTATTTAATTTTGGTCCTTAATTAACAAAAAAAAGTTCTAATTTACCATGAGAATAGGCTATAGCTATACCACTATTTAAAGCCTCTTTATGTAATGTGTCATACTTATCCCGCATGAACACTAAATAGGAGGGCAAAACTTTCGTTAAACATTTTTCATCGTCTATCAGAACATATGGAAGATTGTTACAGTTTTTTCTTTTTGTATCAACTGGTCTTCTCTGCTCACCTTCAGAATGAGGGCAAAATGAAATGTTTAGTGGTGTTTCTCGAAGGGAGGAAAGTAGAAACTAATTTCTATAGTAACACACCCACTCAAACTTATTCCTGAGCACAGGTGCACGCGTTTGTCTTCCAGATTTTGTGCCTTAAAAATGCCACCTTAAATCTTTGCAAGTTGCCCTGAAATGTTCTCAGCTTAGTATTTAAGCAACCAAATCCACCGTGTAGTTACTTAATAAGGTACTGTGTCATTCTTAGCCTTTTGCCACTTGTATATGCTAGCAGGTTGTAATTACATTTGTCATTGTGAATGGATTTTCATTATAAGTCCTTTCCTCTAGATATTTAATTCTCATTGACCATGTAATTACTGCATACAAATGCCTAAACTATAGAAAGTTTCTATGCAAGCAGTAATTTTCTTTGATTTGATGTTCTTAAAGCTCCTGCTTTTATGAGGCCATTTGATGTGTCTGTAGAGAAGTATGTGATTTAAAATGCACTTGAAAACTATGAAGACCTGGATTTTGAGAAAGTAGTGTAGCACTGCAGGAGGTTGGGGGGGACTGTAAATAGTCACCAAATTGAAATTACTTGGGGGAGCATTTGGTAATTGGGTTTTGGATATCACTGTTTTGTTTTACTTATGGAGATGAAATTTATTTTAGCTTGACTCTGAGGAATCTTTAGTCAGAAGTGAAGTAAATATATATAAATTTACTATAGTTGATTCGGTGTTTTTTTTTTCTAATTCATAGG